ACACGCACGCACACACACACACACATATATATATATATATATATATATACACACACACACATATATATATATATATATACACACACACATATATATATATATATACTAGTCGACACACAGCACATGATTTAGGTGACTTGTGCACGATCTGAACAAAATTTGGAATAACTTAAATATATATGCCTATGACCATTAGTCAACGTAGTCACACGCACTCTGCTTGCCTTGCTCAAGTGTCCTGTGTTGTCCATTTATGTCTGCCTTGTACTTGTGTTTGATCATTTTAGGGGCTATGAATCTCCGGCTGTGATCAATTTTAGAGTCGTCACGCATTCAATAAATCTCGTCGCTTATGCGCACCTATGTTATTCATACCTACAGATGCAGCCACCAAACATCGACATCGATGATGTGGAGTGTTTGTGCAAATTGTTCGAGACAGTGGGGCTGATGCTGGACCATGAGAAGGCGGGCGAGTACATGGACACGTACTTCAAGATCATTCAAGACCTCTCCATGCAGAAGGGTCTCCCCGCACGCATCACGTATGTCAGTTATGCTACGCGGTGGTCTTTTATATATCTGTGCTATCCGTTCGTGTTGCTTATCACCCGCGGGGTATAAACCCTGTGATGTGATATTTTATATATAGAGGTTGTTGGATTCTGTTCTGAAAAATGTGGAAAAATGAACTTGAAATCCACTACACCGTGGGTGTACAACAATTTGACTCTGTGAAAGTGCGGCTAGACTAATGGGTATGGACCTTTGGTGAGCCTTGGGTAAAGCGATTTCTACTGGACAGTGTCGTTACAGACAGTAGTGTATTTTCCTACCGAGCCTTGTTCAACCCCTGCGAGCGCGGGGTGGTCATGTTCATATCATAGTGGTTTAGATTGGGTTAAACTACATCGCATGCAGGTGCAATTTAAATCTTTATCGATATAATGTCGTTTGAGGAGTTCTTGAGCCAGCGCTTGGTTACATCAAATAACAGGTCTCCGTGTTATGTTCACGTGGCGTCTTGGTATACATCTAGTGAGTCACACCACGTGTATGCAATCGTTCTGCCTAGTTCATCTTTGCTGTGAGGTTTATGGTCTTTTATTACCGTTCATTTCAATCTTATATGAAAATTTAGTGCTCCAGAATCTGTCTAGGTGTTAGTTGTAACTTAGAATTGCTTGTGATGTATGTATTTGCTCAACACCTGAACTTCCGCACGGGCCATCGTACTGCGCACACAGGTTCATGTTGCAGGATGTGGCGGATCTGCGCGCAAACAAATGGCAACCCCGCAGGACCACCCAGGGCATGAAGACCATCAAGGACTTCCGCAAGCAGGTATGTCATGTACATGTGCAAATTGATGGCTGATGCAAGAAAAAAGACCTATCACTTCTGTTTTAGAAGCGAAAGTGTGTATTCGTATGGATCAGCCCTTCCACCGGTGCGTTCTGATAAAAGTATGGGTCATCCGGTTTTCCATACAAGTACACACCTTGATGTCGTCTCATTACTAAACGCGTTTACTCATGGGTATGGGCTGGTATTGTTGTTAGCACCGTTGACCTCATACATTTAACGTTCTCTCGCTGTGCAGCACGGATGGGTGGAAACCAAGAACCCCAACAGCAAGGTTCGGTTTGAGAAAACTCCACAACATCAAAATAAGCCAGGCATGAACCAGCGCGGTGGCCATGGGGGAGGCATGTATGCGGGAGGCTTGGGAGGGGTCTATGGTGGGATGCCGCCCAACAGTCAGAACCGTCACCCCGGCAGTCAGTTCCCCAACGGACCTTTGATGTCACATAACATGAATGTGCACAACCAGAACAACAACCACGACAACGGCTCCATGTTCCGGTCCAAAGTACCGTTGCTATCCTCGCCATTAATGGAAAATGGGCAGAATCAGAGAGGCTTCAGTGGAGGCTTTATGAACCAGAACCACCAAGGTAACCATGGCAACTACAGTCAAGGTAATCATGGCAACTACTCTGGCAACGGTTATGGGGGCGGAACTCAGCATACACACGGCGCAGACGACCTGGAGCAATTGCGCAATCTGAAACTCCGGAAAGACACCGCTGCCAAGCAAGTATGGCCTATATGTATATGTATATATATATATATACACACACACACATATATATAAATACATATAAATATACACACACACACACACATATATATATATATATATATACACACATATATATATGTATATTTATATTTATATATATATATACATATATATATATATTTATACAAACAAACATGTATGCATATGCATATAGATATGCATCTAAATGTACATATTCGTACTCGTATTCGTGTACGTATACTACATGTACATATTTGTACACGTATTCGTGTACATATACGTATACGTATACGTATGTTTATACATTTATATTTATATTCATACTTTTATTTTTACGTATATTTAATATATATATCTATCTATATATATATGTATACATATATATACATATATATATATATATTTACATATATATATACATACATTTATATATATATACACACATATATATATATATACACACATATATATATATATAACGCAAAATACGTATGTTGTTCTGGCCTATATCTCTGCATGCATGGCATGTTTTCCTGCGTGAGTCATACAGCATTTGTATCATAGACTCGATACAGCTCTGCATGAAAGCCATCACTTAATGGTTCCACAATTATCAAAACTGCGCTTCTCGTTAGCATGATGTACTATTCGGTGCTCTCACATATGCACCTTTGCGCACTCACCACCTTACAGACGAGTTTCCGGCCGCAGAACATGCAACTGCCACAAGCCTCACAGCCCACGACACAACAGAAGAATGTGATGCGTCCAGCTATGAGTGAACAGAAAGGACTGCCCACCACCCAGGGCGCTCGCTTTGTGGCCCCAGTGAAGGTTGTGGTGCCGAAGAAGCAGAAGAGCAGGGTAAGCAGTTGTGCGTGTAATATTGTGTGTGTGTAGGGTATGCAGTTGTGCGTGTGTTATTGTGTGTGTGTAGGGTATGCAGTTGTGCGTGTATTATTGTGTGTGTGTAGGGTATGCAGTTGTGCGTGTATTATTGTGTGTGTAGGGTATGCAGTTGTGCGTGTATTATTGTGTGTGTGTAGGGTATGCAGTTGTGCGTGTATTATTGTGTGTGTAGGGTATGCAGTTGTGCGTGTGTAGGGTATGCAGCTGTGCGTGTATTACTGTGTAGGGTATGCAGTTGTGCGTCTATTATTGTGTGTGGGTAGGGTATGCAGTTCTGCGTCTATTATTTTGTGTGTGTGGGGGGTGTGCATTTGTGCGTCTATTATTGTGTGTGTGGGGTGTGCAGTTGTGTGTGAATGCTGTGTGTGTTTATTGTGTGGTGTGATGATGTTGCTATTTCGCTTGTGTTTATTGATGCTTCTGGGGACGTATGTAGTGTATGGATGTTGGTTGCCATTATCTTGTTGCTTGTAAACGTTGCCAGTTGTCTTGCACAGTGTGGTGTTTAGAATTTATGTTCTTGTGTTTAGTCTGTAGCCTATACAAAGTGAAATATTTGATCTTTGGTGCTGGCTTTGTATCTGCACAATTCATTAGTGTCTTTTATGAATTTCTCCGTGTTGTCGACAAATATATATTAGTGGTACATCAGAGTCGAGTATGGTTTGAGTATGCTTGGCTTGGCAAAACTCTCATCTCTACAATACTGACAACATATTCTGCAACATAATCTCCAAACCCTAAACCATAAAATGTCAACTTTTTAAAACCTTGCATCTCAAACCTAAACCCTAAAACCGTAAATGCAGATTGATCTTGAGCGCGCAACGCGGCGGGTATACGAGGAGTATGTGCACAACCCAGACATGGTCGAAGCACAACAGAGTATCAAAGACATGGACTCGCCCGACTTCCTCACGGACTACGTCACCATCACACTGACCCTGGCATTTGAAGACACGGAAATCAACCAGAACAAGGCCTTTACCATGCTCAAGGGCTTGCACGCGGCTGGTACGTGGACGGAGAGTGTGTTGTGGGTGGAGTGCACTGTACCATATGTGTGTCGCAGTGGGCCATGTGAGTGGTATAGCGTATACAGGTGGTTATCTGGTGTTTTAGCTCGAGTTTAAGGCATCATCTGGTGGCACTTGTGGCTGATTGACCTTTTATTCGCATACTATAATATGTGTGTTCTACCATATCGGCCCATTCTTATTATAATGTTGCATGGATGTGCGTTAAGCCTCCTGGTGTACACACACAACATACATGTACGTGTCCTGTACCACGGGCATATTTCGCTAAAGCACCAACTTATTACGCTCACCCCAAGCGTATCCTGACTATACACTCATGCTGTACACCCACAACCTACGTCTGTGACAGAGTGCATCTCGTCTGACAATGTTAGCGCTGCCTTCAAAACGGTGCTGGATTCCATCGAGGACCTGCGCTTGGATGCTCCCAAAATCGATCGGCTCATGGCGAATCTGAGCGTGCAACTGCTGCAGGCGAATATTATGACCTTCGCGGAGTTACTAAAGATGCTGAAAGGTATTTGTTGGCTAATTATATTATGGCTGCTGTTTTCAGCTTGTGATTCTGTTTTTATGTGCTGCTTCTTTGTACATATATCCCGTCATGTATGTGTTTGCTGTGTGCGCAAGTTGTGTGAAAGCCTGTATAGGAGTATTTTGATATAAACTTGGTTTGCGTATGTATATTTCCAGGCGGGGTGGTACTACACATGCGCAGGGAGCAGATTTTTCTTTTGCCTTATGCGTACCATTGCTATGTTATATGCGTATTACCGATATGTATTTTTGTTGCATGATAAACGTATCATACTTATGTCAAATGCTTATCCATGTCAGGTCATATGCGTACTATTGTTATGTATTTTTATATATATCATATACGTATCATTCTTATGTCCAATGCGTATCCATGTTTGTCATATGCGTACTATTGTTATGTATTTTTACATATATTATATACGTATCATTCTTGTCAAATGTGTATCCATGTCATGTCATACGCGCATTATTGTTATACTCGATGGCCTTCAATGTGCCAGTTGCTTCCCCACACGTTCTCTCCTCGACTGTACTTTCCCATGACTGTTGCGTTGCGTTTCCTGTTCTAATCTTCAAAGCCATACCACCCGATCATCCACAGACGCGTCCTGCTACGAGGTGTTCTGGTTTGCGGTGCAGATGCTCGCTAAAAAACACCCCATCCAAACCTTCGTGGCCACACCGGCTACGGAGAGTGCGACTGAAGGGGAGGATAAATCCAAATTCGTTAAACGTGAACTCGTGACGGAGCATGTGAGTGAAGCGGAGGCTCAGCAGCGTGTGCGCACGCTGATCAAGGACAGTGCACTGGATGTGAAGACCATGATGCCCAACAGCAAGTGTAAGGAGACCGACTACTTCGCCCTTCTCAAGGCAAAGGTATGGCTGCCGCAAGAGACGCACAGGTCGCATCGTGTATGTTGTGTTGCGTCTGCACGCAAACGGACAGATACCATAGCGACCATTCTACACACAGTCACCATAGCAACCATTCTGAACACTCCCGTGGGTACTGGTTGGATGCATTTTATCCTATTGTCTAAATCCCAAACCCTAGATTCTAAACCCCACAAAATCCCTCATCCCGGTGTGCCTCCTTTTCGCAGGACCTTGGATTCCTCGAACCATTGTTGGAATTCGAGACGCGATTTGCCGATGCGGCGAAGACACAGTCGCCGGATGAGCTGACGCAATGGCTCAGTAACAGCGACAACATTCCAGCGGATGTGAAGAAGTCCGACGCCTTTGTCATCACTGTGTTCTCGACATTATTGGACCACATCTGCACACAGAGCACCTTTGTGGCGGTTCTGCCGAAGAAGGACATGCAGGGCAGGGAGTTACAACAGGTATATATGCGGCCAAAACAGTACAATGACAGCATAAGGTCAAAACAGTACAATGACAGCATAGGGCCAAAACAGTAGAGATACTTCCAGCTGATGGTCACGAATAGACACAGAGAAAGGCACATGCACATACGTAGTAGCAGTGCATTGCGGCTGGTTGTTTGCTGTTGTACGGCTCTACGGTCATAGAAAATGCCGTTGCTCTCGCATATGATACTTATAACAAACCCTGGTACACTCAAGATTGTATATACAAGTTATGAAAAGTCTAACGCTGTATCATCTTTACCAGGGTATTGCCCTTTTCTCTAATTGACATTGTCGATGTTCCTGTACTAGAAAATATACTTGTGATTTCCGCACTATTCTACTTGAAATGTCTGTGCGCAGGAGTTGTACTTTTGTCCTTACAATACTATTGCCTCCTACTCACACTTTCTTGATTCGCTTGTGTGTAGTTTCGAAAGTATGCGCCGGTGCTGAAACATATCGTTGAAGATTCGGAGAAGAATCAGATGCTGGGCTTATACGCTGTGCAAGTGTTCTGCTATGAGAATAAGCACAGACTGGGTGACTTCATGCAGCGATGCTTCATGTGCCTCTACCGACTGGACGTGTGCGATGGAGAAGTCTTCATGATTTGGAAAGAGGTATCGGCTGATTAATAATATATATATACGCAAGTGCATGTGTTTGTTTTTATATATAGTGGTGTGTACCATTCTATCCGATAACAGATGCGGACGTTGTTCCGATCTTGACTTATCTTTGCTGTGTATTCATATGTTCAAGTACAACGAAGCAAATACCTCACAACACACACCAGCTATTAGCGTACAATTCGCAGTTTGCATTTGGTAATGGGTTCAATGCTCGCTCTCTCTCTTGGTCTTTGGTAATGAGTTCAAAACTCTCTCTCTCTTAGTCTTCTTAGTCTTTGGTAGTTGGTTTAGTACTATTTCATCGTGGTTAATTTTTGAGACAAGCATATGACTACTGGCAGGATCAACCAGGTAGCTATCTGAGATACAATTCATGTTTACAGAATCTACTGCAAATTCTCAGTTCCACCACTATGCGCAATTGCATAGCGGTTTCATTTAAAACTATACAATATCTCCTTGAAAACATAAATTATGTTTAGGATTGATAGCTGGCTGCAGTGCTAACGCTTCATTTTGCTTACTTTGTGGTACGACAGGACATCAATGATCAATATGAAGGCAAGGGTAACTCGCTCTTCCAGGTCAACGCGTGGCTCAATTGGCTGGAGGTGAGTGTTTCTAGCGTCTCTTGTGTATATTCTGTATCAGAGTTGTATTATTTTCTCGTTACCTACATCATATCTGTACATCGTATTATCACAGTCGCCACGAGGCATAGACATCTACGTAAAGTCAATTCATATGAATGCTATTTAAGCAAGACAATGCATATGAATGCTATTTATGCAAGACAATGCATGTGAATGCTATCTATGCAAGACAATGCATGTGAATGCTATCTATGCAAGACAAAGTAAGACAATCAGTATGAATGCTATTTACGCAAGACAATCCGTATGAATGCTATTTACGCAAGACAATCCGTATGAATGCTATCTATGCAAGACAATGCATGTGAATGCTATCTATGCAAGACAATGTAAGACAATCAGTATGAATGCTATTTACGCAAGACAATCCGTATGAATGCTATTTACGCAAGACAATCCGTATGAATGCTATCTATGCAAGACAATGCATGTGAATGCTATCTATGCAAGACAAAGTAAGACAATCAGTATGAATGCTATTTACGCAAGACAATCAGTATGAATGCTATTTACGCAAGACAATCCGTATGAATGCTATCTATGCAAGTCAATACAGAATGCTATTTAATCAAGTCAATCCATATGAATGCTAACGAAATATATTGCTCATCTCTTATGGCAGGACGAAATGAATGAATCGTCAGATGAAGAGGAGGATTAGATATTCGCGCCCACTTATTGCAGTACCCGTTTCATAGCTATGTCACTGTCAAAACCTTATTAAAGCTTAGCACTAGTATTACCGAACCTTCAAGATGAATGCCACTTTTTCTCAATAATTTTTTTTTGAGGGGGGTGGGAGAAGGTATTAAGGAATGATTTGATAGAACTATTGAGATATTAAGGGATGTTGTGCTAACACAGTATTTGAGGTATTAAAATAATACATTAACACCATTGAGGTACTAAAATATGATATGCATTAGCACTTAAGGTATTAAGAAATGTTATACGTTCACACCATTGAGATATTAAAATATGATATTCATTAACTCTATTAGTGTATTAAGGATAATATACATTAACACCATTGAGATATTAAAAAATGATATTCATATGATATTCATTAACACTATTAGTGTATTAGGGATAATATACATTAACACCATTGAGATATTAAAAAATGATATTCATAAACACTATTAAAGTTTTAAGGAATAATATAAATTAACAACATTAAGTTTCAGCCTTGCGATCATACTCCCCCCGGAACCCAAAAACTTTGATTTCTCATAAGGTGCTGATGGAGTCATATAATCAACTGCCACCAATCCCTAGTCGGCATAGTTTATGGTTAAGACTACGACGCTATCTGATCGTCTTCGATCCTTTAACTTTCGTTCTTGATTTAACCCTTAAGGTATTAAGGAATAATATACATTAACACCATTGAGGGATTAAAAAATGATATTAATCAACACCATTAAGGTGTTCAGGATTGATATACATTCACACCATTGAGGTATTAAAAAATGATATTAATCAACACCATTAAGGTGTTCAGGATTAATATACATTCACACCATTGAGGTATTAAAGAATGATATTCATTAACACTATTAAGGTATTGAGGAATGATATACATTCACACCATTGAGGTATTAAAAAAAGATATTCATTAACAGTATTAATGTATTGAGGAATGATATACGTTAACACCATTGAGGGATTAAAATATGATATTCATTAACACTACTAATGTAATAAGGAATGATATTCATTAACACCATTGAGGGATTAAAAAATGATATTCATTAACACTATTAAGGTATTAAGGAATAATATACTTTAACACCATTGAGGTATTAAATAATGATATTCATTAATATTATTGAGGTATTAAGGAATGATATACGTTCACACCATTGAGGTATTAAAAATGCTATTCATCAACACTATTAATGTATTGACGAATGATATACATTCACACCATAGAGATATTAAAAAATGATATTCATTTAACACTATTAATGTATTGAGGAATGATATTCATTAACACCATCGAGGAATTAAAAAATGATATTCGATAACATTACTGAGGTATCATGGAATGATGTACATTAGCACCATCGAGGTATTAAAACGTGATATCCATTAACACTATCGAGATATTAAGAAACGAAACGCATCCTGTTACACTATTGTGGTATTAAAAATTACTTTTTATTAACACTATTATGGTATCAAGGAATGTTATGTATTAATATTATTGAAATACCAGAGAATAACATGCATTAATACTATTGAGGTATTAAGAAATTATACACATTAACACTATTGAGGAATTAAGACATAGTAGGCATAATCACTATTGAGGTGTTATTAATGATATGCATCAACACTATTGTGATATAAATGAATGGGATGCATTAGCACTATTGAAGTATCAAGAGTTGATATTCATCAACACTATTATGGGTTTAAGAAATCATATACATCAACACTAATATAGTATTAAGGTATGATATGCATTAACACTACCAAGATATCAAAAATGATATGCATGAACCCTATTGAATTATCATGGAATGATAGGCATCCATAACTATTGAGTTATTAAGAAACAATAGACATTATCAGTATTGAGATATTGTTGAATGATATGCATTAACACTAATGATGTATTAAGAAATGATATGCATTTTGAGGTTTTAAAAATTGATACGCATGAACACTATTGAGATCTCATGGAATGATAGGCATAAATAACTATTAAAGTATTAAGAAATAATGGACATTAGCAGTATTGAGATACTATTGCATGATATGCATTAACACTGACGATGTATTATGAAGTGATATGCATTTTGAGGTTTTAAAAATTGATATGCATGAATTGGGTTATCATGGAATGATAGGCATAAATAACTATTGAAGTATCAAGAAATATTAGACATTAGCAGTATTGAGATATTGTTGAATCATATGCATTAACACTGATGATGTATTATGAATTGATATGCATTTTAAGGTTTTAAAATTGACATGCATTAACCTTATTGGGATATCATGGAATGATGGGCATAAATAGCTATTGAGGTATTAAGAAATAATAGACATTAGCAGTATTGAGATATTATTGAATGATATGCATTAACACTATTACACGATTGGGGTTTAAAAAATGATATACATTAACGCTGTTGAGGTATCAAGGAATGATATTCATTAACACTATTGAAGTATTAAAAATGATATGCATTAACACTAAGGACGTATAACGATGATATGCAAGAACACTACTAGGTAAATAGTAAAAAATGATACTTATCAACACTATTAAGGTATTGAAAAATGATATGCATTAACACTAAGGACGTATAACGATGATATGCAAGAACACTACTAGGTAAATAGTAAGAAATGATGCTTATCAACACCATTAAGGTATTAAAAAATGATATGCTTTAGCACTAAGGACGTATAACGATGATATGCAAGAACACTATTAAATAAATAGTAAGAAATGATGCTTATCAACACTATTGAAGTATTAAGAAATGATATGCATTAGCACTAAGGACGTAAAACGATGATAAGCAAGAACACTATTAGGTACATAGTAAGAAATGATGCTTATCAACACTATTGAGGTATTAAGAAATGATATGCATTAACACTAAGGACGTATCACAATGATATGCAAGAACACTACTAGGTAAATAGTATGAAATTATGCTTATCAACACTATTGAGGTATTAAGAAATGATATGCATGAACACTAAGGACGTATAATGATGATATGCAAGAACACTATTAGGTAAATAGTATTAAGAAATGATATGCTGACGGACTATTGATATGTTCAAGAATGGTGTTATTACGGACTTTTGAGATGTTTAGGAATGATTTTCAGTTCTTGTCAGATTATCAAGGATAGGGAGTCCGTTAACTATAAGTGTGGTCGGTTGGCCCGATGTAGTCTTGGACTACGCACCATAGTTTCTTCACTACCGGAGTGGTTGCGGTGAACCGTTTGTGCATCCAAAAGGCAGCATTTGTGTCCGTGCTATTAGGGGGGAATTGCCAAGTATATTTGTGAAACAATATCCATTGGCCAATAGAAAGTGCTGTACTATCAACTGTAGTTATCAGGTGTGTGGTCTGCGTTGCTATCAAGCTCTCACACGTGTTGCTGGCACGTGGTGTTCATCAATTATTCACTAGTGTATTCTCCATGCACGTATTTCTAAACACCATCTACCTCGCAATCGTTATACATAGACGGAGAAGACATTTACACGGTATACATCGCATACGATGCGCAAAACTCCGCAAGACTAGATCAAACTGCTGCAATCGGTCGAGTCTTAGCCAATTATCCAGAGTGTGCGCTGCTTCCCTGCCTTGTCGCTCACCTGTCTCTACGTAGTACATGCTCCATGTACTGCTTAGTACATGTTCCATGTACTGTGTATTACATGCTTCTTGTACTGCGTAGTACATGTTCCTGAGGGCAAGGTTTGCGGGTTCGTGGTAACAAGTGCGGTTAGAATGCAAGTGTTGGTGTGATTTCAAAAAGGTGTTGTCCTCACTGACCCGCAAACAAATCGGGGCACGCCCCTGCCTTAGCCCGATATCGATATAGCATAGAGGACTAAAGGAATCAACACTTGCGCGGATGACTTGAAAGTTTCATATGCTTTCTCTCCTGAGTCACATATATATATATATATATATATATACCACCCGAGAACCGCTTATCAGCCTCCATCATTTAACACAAAACGATTTAATTTTAACTTTTAATCCTTTTAGCTACGAGTTCGTTTGTACTGCGCTTATTTATGCGTTTCCAAACATAGCCTCAATGTCTCCAATGGTCTTGCCCTTGGTCTCGGGTACAAAGAGGACGGTGTAGACGACCACCAATGCACAACACACAGCGAACGGCAAGAACGAATACTCGTCCAGGGCATCGTTCATGAGGGGGTACACCAACCCAATCACAAAGGTGAACAGCCAATTGACTACCACCACCACAGACTGACCGGCAGACGACACCTTGGTGGGCAGCAGCTCCGCAGCCATCATCCAGGGGATGGGCCCAGGACCCACGGCGAAGAAGGCCACACCCACAAGCACAAAGATCACCGACGGCCACTGCCACTCGAAGATAAGCGCTACCACAAACATGATGTGCATGACTCCCTGACCTCCGAAACCGCCAATCAGTAGTATTTTACGACCGGCCTTTTCGATGATGGGGATGGCAGGGAAGGTCGCGACCACATTGAACGCAGAGACCATGATGGTGGCTACTTCAGCGTTGGTCATGCCGGCGCTGGCAAAGATGGTGTTGGAGTAGAACATGACAGCATTGATACCTGACAACTGCTGTCCAGTCATGAGCACGATGGCGATTGTCGCCTGTTTGATGTAGGATTTGGAGAACAGGATCCTGAACTGCTCAGCCAAACCAACCTCACCGTCTTCTTCTGCAGCCTTTTGGGCAGCAAGGAATTCATCCAACTCAGCCGTAGCGTCGTAGTCGACACCACGGAACTTGGTCAGGGCTACTTTTGCCTGGGTGTCTTTTCCCTTCTCAAACAAGAACTTGGGGGAATCAGGCAGGAAGAACATCACCACAATGTGGATACCCGAGAATACCACGGGAGAGCCCCACAGAATCCACCATAAACTGGGGTTTCCAAACACCGACTGCATACCTAGAACATTGGCAACAAGAATTCCAACGGTGATAAAAAGCTGGTGGAATACACCGAATGCTCCTCGTACGTGCACTGGTGCAATGTCATTGTTGTAGATGGGTACACAGTTACAGCACAGACCAGAGGCTACTCCCAGGACGATACGCCCAGCCATCATGACACCATAGTTTGGTGCAAAAGCCATGATGAAGCCAGCAGCAATGAATACAACATCGGTGATAAGGGATGAGAGTTTGGGTCCCAGCATCTTGACCAGGGTGCCACCGGCCAAACCACCGATCATTCCTCCGACTGCGAATAAGGACAGAATCCAACTGAACTGATCTGATGTGATGGGCGGGTCGAACGTGGCGGGTTCCCCAGGGAACAAATCTCCCGTACCATCGTACGTCATGGCAGGCGAACTATTATTAGGCATACCGATACCACAACCGAAAATGAATGACTGCAACGACATGATAATCGCAGCGCCAAGCACCAACCCGGTCATGGGCTGCTTGGGCATGCCGGTCTCAACAGCATCATCCAAACTTATATCATTTTTCTCATCTTGTAGATTGGGATCTGATGACAAACCAACGGTAGACTCCATGTTGGCGAACTTGTTACAATATAAAACACAAATAGACAACTTCTGAAGTAACTTGTGGATACGTCTTCAGCTATATACGTGTGAAGGTGAACTCCATCAGAGTAGTAGAGTTACACATGATAGATATCAATATTTAGATATTTACAGAAGATTGTAAACAATTAATAACAATTAAAAGAACAATTAGGTCCACTCAATTGGCCGTCAGGTTCAACTCCAATACATTAATACACAGCTCTAATAGTTTAGACCTAAAGTCCTAAACTGATTCAGCAAGGTAGCTTTTTCGGCACCAAATTTTATAAAAAAGGTTCTATGTATAGGTATCTGGGTCTAGACTCTAGACTCCAGTCGCTCTAATATTTGTTTAGGTCGACGGGTCTTCGTCTTGTGACTTTCATTTTTTTTTCTTCTCAATTTTTGTTTTAAAGGGGGGTTTTTTAAAAATTAGAATCTCAGCATTTTCATTCCATACTCAAAGAGAGAGAGAAGAGAAAAAGTTGTTTCTAACGAAGAGCTTCCGATACTCATAGGCTGAGAGATTTGCCTTATACGGTGCAATAATTTACATTTTATCCCAAACACCAGGCAAATGGTCGACTGATCGAGTGATCGTAGCTGTCTTTTTTAGGAAGCTGCTGATATAGTGATGGGGCTGAGTCGTGAGAGTGCTGAACTGCTGCTGACTGCTAACTTTCTTTTCTGGTTTGCAGACTGTGGCCTGGGGCCCTGGGCTCACTAAACGATTTTTTTTAGGGTTTTAGGGTTTTTAGGGTTTAGGGTTTATCCCCAAACCCTAAACCCTAAAACCCTATAAAAAACCCCTAAACCCCTAAAACCCTAAAACTATGTACTATGTATTTAGCTCTACTTTCACACTCTCTCTACTAAATAACATATTTAGCTATTTGGCTAAAAAGTAGAGAGTTAAGTTGTAAATAGAGGCTGTCTCTGAGTCTGGGGCCCTGGGCCCACTCGTTTGTGTAAGTTGCAATCTTGGCCTTGAATTTTATTTAGACTGTGGCCTGTGGCCCTGTGACGCTGTGCCGCAGTGTCCTGTGGCCTGTGGGGCTGCTGAGATTTTATGTTTTTGACCTCTAGCATTTTTTTTAAACAAAACTACACTTCTTTTTTTTTTTCATTCATATTTATATAAATATTTACATACATATTTACAGTATATAAGTACAAATATGTATATATATATATATATATATATATTTTAACTAAAAAAAAAGTAA